TTTTCGAAATTTGGAATTTTTCAAATTTTAATTTATTTATATGTTATTCACGAAATTATGCATTACTTTGAATATTCACATTTAATCTTTTGAATTGTGCGCAAAGCTAAATGAGGGCTATCTGTGCTAGCCGTCCCTAATTTATCTCGCTTTTCGAAATTTGGAATTTTTCAAATTTTAATTTATTTATATGTTATTCACGAAATTATGCATTACTTTGAATACTTAAAGAATTATATACACAAGAATCATTATGGACAGCACATGTCGAATTCTATTTAGTTTTAAGCGTGACTGAAAATTCTAATTTTGTACACGCTACATCATGATGGGCAAGAAATATTTGTCGCGTGAAATTAAATTGTTGTATTTATGTATTACATCAATAAAAAGTACGTCAAAAGATGATCAGGAAATAAGAAACAACTTGAAACTTGTTTACAAGTGACACTAGTGATAATCGAGCACAGCGATCCCTGATCATATGATGATCTGTCAAAGGTCAATGTTCGCTTTCAGAGCCTATACAAAGTTCAATACCTAAATGATCAGAAATGCATCGTCATAGAACAAGTTAGATTCGATACGACAATAGAAGAATTTCACAATGTATCAAATTTTACCACTCGTAAACGAATCTATAAACGTTTCTGTTTCCACATCAATAAAACTAAAACTCTTATCATGAAGGTTAAAAAGAAACACTGCTTTTGATTTGCAGTTTAAAGAAAAGGTTAATTTAAATAAATTGTGACGTTTCATAAAAGAACTATGATAAGAACATTAAAAAATACGCGAGCTTTAATGCTTACAGAAATAAATTGATAGTTTTAACTCGTATAAATTCTAAATTGTTTGATAGTTTTAACTCGTATAATTGTCATAAACATTTATACATTTTACAAATTTGTAAACGAATACACTAATGTAGTTTTAAATTCGTACAGTGTATTAATGCGCGCAGTTGCTCAATTAAGGTGATCAGGACTCAATTAGTCCTACCCAAAAGTACAATAATTAGGTGTGATTAAATAAAACGTGGAATAATGTCACTGAAAAAAATATTTTCTCCTCGTCCTACGCAAATGAAATAACTCTTGTCTTGGACATAAAAAAATAAGATTATATATATATATGTATATAAAAAATCAACAAGCCATTATACCTATAATAAATGTCATATGATCATTATATAAAATATAAATTCACAATGAATTGAGCTTCATGATTATGATAAATTCACGCTTTACTGAGAAACTGAACTTTACTTTGATTGCCACATATGTGACATCCGGGTTATCAAACTCTCGATATATGCTGTGCTGGTTGGTAGTGTATGTTTCGTGATTTACAATGTTTGTTTGTTTACGATTATCAGCGCTACTAGCTGCCCCTAATTTTGAACTGATAGACTAGATAAAGTGAAGACAGCTAGCTAGTCAATAGCTCCCAACACCACTAATTTGATCGAATAATGTGTTTGACCTCCACCATATAACGCTTCCAAAATGCGGAGTGCAATTTTTATTTTCTGGAGAAACGGAACACGAGCATTGAACTCGTAAAGCCATAGTCCGGTACACAAAATACTGGGTAATTTGGAAACATTTATCTAAATACATGGACAGTTTAATATCTCCCCTCCATGTTGACTGAATGCTACGTAATCAAAACCTTGGAAGGGTTTGGTTTGAATTTCGCGCAAAGCTACACGATGGCTATCTGCGCTAGCCGTCCATAATTTAGCAGTGTAAGACTAGAGGGAAGGCAGCTAGTCATCACCACCCACCGCCAACTCTTGGGCTACTCTTTTACCAACGAATAGTGGGATTGACTGTCACATTATAACGCTCCCACGGCTGAAAGGGCAAGCATGTTTGGTGTGACGGGGATTCGAACCCACGACCCTCAGATTGCGCCCTAACCACCTGGCCAGCCCCGGAAGGAAAGATGTCGTGTAGTGTTGTTAGACATAACATTTAACTACGGAATAGCTGTAGCAAGAGTTTAGGCTTATTACATTTATTGCGAAAAAATAAAAGACAGGTGGAACTGACGATGTATCAAAACAAACGAATCACTCAGGCGAATTTAGACAGTGGCGCAATCATCCCCCATCATACACACTTTCACTGGTGATCGGTTCCTCAATTAAACCAGTCAAATATAATGCTCAATCATATACAATATGTTGTCATTGCTAAAAAAGTTATCGGCTTCTGATCCAGTAAAGGATCTCTTCTCCTTAACCGTGCATTCAGGCTTATGGCTCTTGGATAGGTATAGGTGGTCAGGAATAAAACAAGTGTTACGTCTCCGTTCGTTAGTTAATTTTCCGTAACTTCG